TAACACATTTCTATATTACAATAATGTTTATATGTAATATTTAAGAACAATGTTATGGGAATATAATGTTTATATTGTAATATTTAAGGACAATGTTATGGGAATTCGCCAAGTCCTGCGCCAACTCCAATGAAACCGATTCCTCATAATCCAATAATGAGGATTACAACAACTTCACGTCCGAGAATATCAGGTGAGTTAGCTAAATAAGGTTAAATAAATTTTATTGTCTATTAACCAATATTTTAATTTTTGCTGCTTAAGAATATAAAATTGTCTTTAGATAAATAACTGACTATAACTTTAGATAAATAACTCGGTTATCTATTCGAGAACTCTCGAATATATAATTATGAACTGATAAAGATTCTATAAGAGGAACGTTTTTATGCATTTATATAATATGTACTATTTCATTAAATTGTTAAATAATTTATTTATTTAAACATCTTATTTGCTCGTTTTATGGTCGTTAAATTAGGATATTTTTTGCTTAAGATTATTTTTTCTATTTGAATTTATAATTCATTACTTTCTTTTCTCGATTACAGGAACTACTCGAGTGTCAGAAAATGCAGTTTCTTCGTCAACTCTTTGTAGGTCGATGTCCACGACTTTTATGCTTCTCGTTGCTATGATCATCGCGATTTTGAAGGTAGCATCCCCGTATACGCTCGAATAATGACATCATTTTTACACATTTAATGAGCTAGTTAATGAATGACCTTAGTGACACTTCTGCATTTTGACTATTGTTGTCTCTAACTGACAATCGAGATGTAAGAGCCAGTTATTTATTGCAAAGATCGACGTAAAACATATTGTAGACATCGGAGAGATATAGCAAATTTGTATATCATATTTTTTCATCTCGCGCATCACTCCGCCCACGCTGCATTTCGCGAGATTTTGCTTTTTTACTACGAAATAAAAAAACTTTGATCTGCTCCATTAGCAAGTTGGCAAACGCACAGGGATTTTTATAAAAGAAAGAAAATGGCTACAGATATTTTTATCGATATTTATATATAAGACATGACGATACGTAAAAAATATATAAAGCTGTGATGTCTACAATAATATACTATGAATTTTTCGCCGATGACGAAATTACAATTGATCCCTATTGCGAATTATTACTATTTATTTAATTGATTTCAACAGAGCGAGATAGGCCACAATTTAGGTCTTAATAATCATGTTTGAACACTGCCTTGTAAGATACAGATTTCGCTGTGACTGTTCAAAACCCAAAGAGCCACTATGTGCAAATAATTTTTTACGAAACAAACATTACAAAAATATAAATGCGACATAGAAATACATAAAAGGGATTGACGGTAATTTTTTAATAATTTTGTGATAATCAATTCAACTTATTTTGATTATATTGATATTACAAAGTTAATAATAAACTTTGTAGTTATTGTGTGACATCAAATTTGTTTGAAATCAAACAAAAACTTCAGACATCCCTTATATTATTTAGAGCAGAGTTGTTCAAAATAGAAACTTTTGGATTGAAATTGAAATGTGTAGATATTCATGTCTATTATCCTACTTCATTGTTATTTTATCATAACGCGCGACGTTCGGTCTCAGAGACGACAAAATCGTTAAGTTTTTAATCTGTATCATTTACTGTGTTTAAAAATATTCTATTACAAATAATAATAATATTATTACTATATAATGAGATACTATTATTCATAATATATTTAACTATAAAAATACATGAA